GCCCGGCTTTCATCTTGACTCTGAGGAAACTAAATGTTTTGTCCTTTTTCCAAATTACCAGAAATACAGAGCGACCCTCCTTAGTTACTGATAGTGAACATACAGTACCTTTCCATGTTATTTGTAATACATGAGAGCTTTGTTCCAGAATATCTTGAACATCAAATTGAAAGGTCAGAAACATTGGTAGGAAGATACTGATCATCTGTGTAGAAACATGAACTTCTGTTATGACCTTTTACTTTGGATGATGCCCGAATGCCTCAGTGCATCCCTTATTTCCCCACTCTACTTCTAAAATAAATCCTAGCTCTTCTCATCATAAATCAAAATGTACTGTTTATGATTATCTCTAGATGCTTGCTGTGTTTATATTTATTTATTTAGCTATTTTATTTTTAGGGATCTCAGCGGCATGTGCTTGCATTGCTCGTAAAAATGCAGGCTCCAAGGTGTAGGAGTTAAGCTGTCCTCAGTAGATATCCAGTATTAGGGAGATAAATACCACAGTTGGCTTTCCAAAGAGTTCCAGAGATTTATGGATTGCCTCGGTGCAGCAGGCCTCTGGGAGGCAAATATTGTATGAAATCCTCCAAATGTTTTGGTAGTGTGCAACGCGCACACACACACGCACACACACACACACACAAACAGATATGCACACAAATAAGACTCCATCCATGCCTGAAAGGCTGAGCTGCAGCAGCTGCTACTATGGCCGTAGTGTAAGAAACATTGCTGCATTGCTGAGGTCAGAACATAATTCATCGAGGAAAACAAACAAAAGAGAAAATGGGTGGGGCAGAGTGTGTATATGTGTGTATATGGGGGGTCTAAGGCGCAACAGCCAAGAGTGTTGCATCATCCCATTAATTACTCCCACTGCAGTAGAGTGTACATGACCCACATGCTCAGAAAGATAAGCAGGGCTGTAAAGAAACATGGTGGAAAAAGGAAATAACAGGACAATGCTTCGGTCATATCAGCCCTTTACTGTCTTTAAGTCTTGTTTGTCTCTTGTGACAAACTTGACAGCAAATACCACTAAGCAGCTAAACACAAAATAAAGCAGGTGGCAGTTTGGGGTTTTGGTGGAGGAGGAGGAGTAGAAAATGGCCCTCTGAGAGGCACCCCAGTGCCTGGAGAAGGCCAGTTAGTGGGAAGGGCCATGATGGATAAGTCTGATCCTTTGTAGAGGCAGTATTGATCCAGCAAAAGCTCACTACATGAATCAAGTATGAGTTCTGTGCTGTTAGTTCCTTTACTTTGTGGATGGTTGTGCTCCAGTGCGATAGAAACACGCACACTTTTTTCATGTAGCACAAAGCGGACAAGCCGGTGATTAAACACAATCAGGCTGAAGGTTACTGCCAATAAAGTTAGAACACGGACTATAAATTCATGAGATCTGAATATGGAGGTTTTATTCTGAGGTTTACTGTCATTTGGCGGTCTACAGCCGGTTCCACAAAGCAAAACACTTATTCTGATTGCTATTGATTTTTTTTTGATTTTTTTGATCACCAGCGCATAAATTCAAGTATTTTAAGTGTCCGGTTTTCAAAAAAAAAAAGAAAGAAAAAACTTAATGAGCTAAACTCCAGGCTTCTCATTTCAAGCTTCCGATATGCACTCATGTGTTGCAGTAAGAAATTAAAGCACAGTAGCAGTTACGGTCCCATTCTGCCTTTGACTCCTCTCTGCTAATTGCTATGCCAGTCAGTGACAGGTCGTTCATGTTTCACCCACGTCTTCAACAACAGCTAGCCTCTCTCTTGTTCTCTTTCTTTCTCAGAGGTATTTCCAGAAGGGTTAGATGGACAGCGTCCATGCCTTTTTTGTCTTTTATGTCATTAGAAAGGGACAACCTGTACCGGTCCTTCTGGATCTAACAGATTCCTGCTGAGCACAGGGTGCTAATGACACACATGCAGACACACTCTCACATACACACAGACACACACGCCTCCAGAGGATAGGATCTCCAAGAAGCAACACAGCCTATTTCACTGCAAATTAGGTTAATCACGCTCCAGAGAGGCCCAGTTAATAACCCTCATAGAGGCTATTAAGATGGCACCTAAATCATAGGAATATCTGAATATCTGATGGCCCCTAACACAGTAATGCCATGTTTAGCCCTGGAGTTCTTAGTAGGGCTCGCTAAGAGAACCACGGCTTGTCATATAACCAGCTGCAGACTGATGATGCTGTGCAACTTTTTCTCATTGGGGAAGAAAAAAACACCTCACTGCAAACTGTAATACATGAGGAACCCTTCTCATTAAGCCAGTGATATTAATCAGAATTAGACTATTATAACAGTTTTCTTTTTCACACAGGAGTAACTCGCAAAATACCAAAGAAATTATCACCAGGTGTAGCAATATTAGGCAGCTCACAGCTCATTAAAACCACTCTCTTTTCTTTTTTAGTGCATATCTGAATCACTACGGTCAAATTCACTCGATGTATCACTCTTGATCACTCAATGTATCCCTATTGAGCAGAAAAGGCTAAACATACAAAGACACAGCCATCTATGCTTTACAATCCTCTGCCAGGCAAGTGAAACAAGACAAATAAAGCCTTCGTAAAAGGCAACTGGTGTCTCAGTCAGCAACGCTTTTTACTGCCGCAGTGTGCCGAGGCTTGATAGCATCTCCGGTGCCTCAGCTGTACAAGAGCTCGCCATGGGGGACCTGAAACTGTGTGACATCCATGAAAGGCTCAGCCCAGAGATCCCGAGTGTGTGAGAGCCGAATCCCCGCTGGTTAACCCTCGAGTCAGATGCTCTCTGGTTCAAGCTCGTTATAACGCTGCAAATTACCAGCATTTAGCTTTGACTGGAAGATTTCACACATCACAGACAGTGAAGCATGTCGCAGGTCATGAGCGTTCATTGTTATCCATTTACGAGAAAAACTGAATGCACACCAACAAACAGCTGGTTTACAATTTGGGATGGCTACTTTAATAAGAACCCAATTACAATTCGTTCCCATGTTATCATCACATCTTTACAGTCTTTTTAGTAAGTCTATAAATAATAGTGATAATCACTAAAGCCCAGCCTTAGCCCACAGGCTGTCTTAATGAGACGGTTTGCCCAGAACGATGAGTAACTACTGTAGTCATCTCTAGAAGCCTTGTTTTTTTAAAATTGTATCTGTAACTCTCCATCAGCCCTTTTTTTTCTCCTGGTCTACTGAAGCCAGTGCGGTTGCATTTACGCCCACATATTTACTTTCTGTAGGTGGTTTGTTCTTTGTCTCTTCCAACAGGTACAGTGGCTTTCTCTGTACACATTCAGTTCATCCATCCTTTTTTTTTTTTCAAACAAAGGAAAGCAAATATTTTCACCACCCATACTGCAGGGAAGGAAATCACTCCAGTAAAAGCCCCGCCACCAACTGCTGCCATCAATGTCTGATAATCAGCGACAGCATTGCAAAACTTTAGACTGTGGCGGGGTTTCTCGTGCACAGAGTAACCGTGGGCACCTCATGAAGATGCTTCGGCTACAGCTACTGAACTACCGAGAGCATTTTAATATTCTTTAACGAGTTTTGTTAATTGGGGTTTAACTTAAAGGAAAATGGACAGATCTCTGTCACATAAACAACTTTATTGCCTTTAATGCATGTGCACAGATTCCTGTGTGCACAATAACTTCTGCGCCCTGAAAAGGCCCAAGCCAGTAAAAATACCTGACTACAAAACAGGGTACATTACTGCTAATAACAAGCGACTTAAGTCCATAACAGCGGCTGCAGATCGTCCAATGTCCCATTTGGACATTCCAGTTTGTGTGAGCAAGTGACAAGGAAATTCCCGATGATGGAAATTGGTTTCTCTGTGCCCCTTGCCGATCCATCTAAAGGCATGGCATTTCATTTCATCATCTCGCACAACTGCACTGTCTAAGACGTGCATTGCCATTACCCTGCGAGGTCAGCCCTAAAGATGTACAGCGTGTGTCATGCATAACAAATGTACGGCTGCAACTGGGCAGGAATATGAGCTGCCGGTGGGAATGGGATCCAGCAGGTAGCAAGAAAACAGACTTGGTCTCATTTTGCAGTGTGTCATTACCTATAAACCCACTTTGGGGCAAATGAATGATCTCACTTAGGGCTTTTGTTTGGACTTCCTCACTCATCAGTTGGAGTCTGAAGCCTACTTTCTATATCTTCACTTTAGGGATGTAGTTCTATCATATCTATCATTTAAAAAAAACTATTTCTCAGGCAAAAAGACTTTAATGTAGCCTAAAAAGATAAGGGATGTGTTGTTCAGTGTGATCAAGCTGACCCCTGAGCACAGATATTTTGCATGCCAACCTCTCCTTGTGCTTGGATACGCACTCATCAGAACACCAAGTGCTTTAATATTTTGGGGGCAAAGCTTCTCAGTTTTATTTATTTCATCATTTTACCTTCACTTTATGCCAAAGAATTGCACGTGGAGCTCACCTGGACGCGTTTATTCTCACAAGTGGGGAGGAATTGACAGACCTAACCTTGAGACTGTGCACGCACGCGTGTGTCTACACACGTGTCGCTTTGAGCACGCGTCTGTTATCTGCGAATGTATGTGCGTCGCTTGCGCCGTACTGTTGGCGACCCCCAGCGTACAGGATGTGAAATTTTCCAATTATTTTCTTCCTTAAAATTTTTTTTAAAAATCACACAACATATCAATAGAAAGCCTGTACCCGGATATTCTTTATTACCAACACTAAAGCAGCTAATATGTGTATAACTCTAACACAGCGGCAGCCACAGCCTCGCGCTTTTCACAGTCCAATTGATCTATGTTATTCGTTCATCAATTCCAGCAGACTCTAATAACTTGCAGTGGCGTAGATTTAAAAGAAAAAATTGAGACACGCTGTTGAAGAGAAACTACAATGCACAATCACAGTCTACATTTCCCCCCTTAATCATTCAAGAATTTAAGTACAAAGTAATTACTGAACAAAATAATTTGTGCCTTACCTGCGCGCGACACTCCGTTTTATCCACATTTTTTTTCTCTCTCTCTCTCGACTGTCGAAAACCGACTCAGTCCTCCAGGTATCCTCCCATTTGGATGGGTTTTTCCACCAAAGTCGGCAATTGCTGATGAGAAGAAAGCACTCAAGTTACGGACCTTACTCCAGCTGTCAACGCAAACATCATTTAAGCCATATCCTTCTACGTTGCGCACATCAAATTCCTCCCAAAAAAAAGGACAGGGGGGGGGGAAAGGAGGAAAAAAAACACTGCCGAAAAAACAAACAAAAAAATTCCACTAAAAATACCAAAACAATTGTCGGGTCTCTTTGAAGTTGTCCGTCAGTTCTTCTGTTGGCGATGATTTGCTCTCCCTGCTCACCAGCCGAGAGGAGAGAGAGGGGGTAGGCGCGTGCAGGCGGACAGGTGAGCGGGAAACCGAAAGAGGTACCCTCAAACTTTGCCTTCACGCAAATCGTTCATTTTTCAGTCGCCCCAGCAGAAAAGGCAAAGATGCAAGATGCCGAGAGCCGAAATCGGGGCATGCAGTTGGCATCCTCATTGCTGAAATGACGCCGTCACTTCTCCTACATTGCTGAACGGCAGATGAACGTCCAAAAAAGAAAATTGGAGAGAAAAAAATGGGGGGCGGAAAATGAGAATGTTCAGTTCTCTGAAGCAGGGAGGATTCAAGTCACCAGAGGCAGGGGATCTTCATTATCTGTTGACATCTCTGTGGAGGGGGGTGGTTGAGAGGTTAGATAAAGTAAAATAAATGAAAGTAAAATGAAATAAGGTGCAACTGAAAAGAAAAAGGAAGAGGGGAAGCGGCGGAGGAAAATCCTGGAGGCTGAGGGTTGTTTCAGAGGAGTTGGAGAGAGTGGCTGTGAGGGCTTGTCATTACAGCGGAGAGGAGACCGGCACGTCTCCTCCTGCTGCTCCTCTTCTCTCAGACTGACGAACGATCTGCCTGCTGAGCCCCACGCTGCCGTGACGTCACTTTAAAGCCAAATATGTCATGTGCTGGAGTGTCTCACGTCATATGGGTGCACATTCATGACTGCAAGACTGGGTATGACAAATCCAGTAGAGTACAGAAGTGTGCAGAGCTGCACACTATGGTTGGAAGACCATATAACAGTGAGACCATTACGTATCTGCACTTTTGTAGCCAGCTAAGGGAATCGCTGTGCCAAATAACCTTGTAGCCTGTAAGATAGCATATCATAAAATAATTTATATTTTATATGATATGAGACACATAAAATAGAAACGACCCAGTTCATTTAGCCTGGGTGTTGCTATGTTCTGCCAGGCAGATCGACAACACTGCTCAATATCAGCTTGCTCACAAACTGCTTGTTATTCTTGTTATTTCTTTTTTTAAGCCATAGACTGTATATAAAAGATGGACATAACAAGGACATCAATAAGCATAAATGCCTCTGGCTGCAAAAGGAGGTTGTCAAAATCACCCTCTCTCCTCTAATCTTCCTCCTATACTACTGATCAGAATTTAATCAAACTTACACAATGATTATCTAATGAGTAGCCATCTGAATTGTCAAGGTCAAAATCATATTTATTGTTTTATGGGCAATTTTTACAAGACTTGCTACTCCCTTCAGAATAGATTTTACTCTGAAAAGAGATTTTATTGAAACTTATACACGATGATTGCCTAATGGGTCTTCACCCCAACTGTGTTCGTGTTCAACGTCGCATTTGTTGTTTTTTTATAGCAATAACCTGTGAATTGTGATGGAGCGGGATTGCTGATTTAATCACATATACTCTTCAGCATCTGGTTTCAAAAAGCTGAAATAGATGGCATCACAGTAACTAGATACATTTTTTATATGCAGTCTTGTTGTTCAGTTTAGATAAGAAGTTGTTTTTTTCTTATTTGCTTTATACATTTTTGAAGCAATATTTTTGGATTAAAAAATCTCTGGGAAATAAATAAAAATGATTAATAAATATGTAACCAATCAAGGACACAGTCTACTACAGCACATGTAAGGTATAATACAACAATACATTGACCTGTGGCTGAAGACATTTTATGCATGTCTAACACAGTGTGATAATAAATTAGCCAAGGTAATATTGGCCTATATGATACATACTGCAATTGTATTACAGGGTCTATTGCTGAACTGGCTCTAGACTCTGCGAATGCTCTAATGATCCAGTCCAACCACAAAGGAGTGCCCGGAAAATTAAAAAGAGTCCCTTTTTTTGTTCAAAAGTCCAATTCTGAAGCAACAGCCCAATATGAAACATTAACATTTTAACCAGAGGCACGGACAAGCCCATTTGTGAAGTAATCAAAAAATGGAAAATTGAAGTTTCAAACCTTTTACATTTGATTTATTTTGATGGTGTAAATTGACCAAAGAACTGGAACGAATAATGGAACAAATAATGGAATGAACGAATAATGGAACCACTTTCTTACTTTTGTAAGAAAGTGGTATTAAGCAAACTAGAACTTGCCTGACTGAAATACGTTTTTATACCATTATTCATAATTTGTATTCCACCTCCCATCCTTTTTCAGTTTGGTGTTGGCTCATACTTCCTATATTCCTTGGTACAGGTGTCATGATCCAGAATGTGTAGTTCCTGTTGATGCCACTAGGACATGGTTCTTCACCAGAGAACCAGTTTCTGTTTATGGAAAGCATGGCAACAGCAGGCAATGAGCAGGAATTATTTCACTGTATGCCAAAGAAGTAAGACTTTAAGGGTCCCCTACTCTGTAACACGTGAGTAGAGTTACAGTTAAGTCTGTAACACTTTAACTGTTTTAAAAGGCTCAAAAGAGACAGAAAAAAGACACATTTCTGTATTCTGTTAGATCAGTTTGTCATTAGAAATGTGGGGTCTCATCCATCATTCAATGTAATCAAATTGATTATCATGTGTTTTTCACCTGTGATTGATGTTGTCAGTGCTTTTCACACTCCCTGCCCCACAAGTCAAAAAGGTCCATAGTGTACAATACACAGTATAAACAGAGATAGCTACAATGAGATGTCAGATATCAGAAAGTGCTCTGAACATCAGGATCAATCACATCACCCGAGCTTTGGAATAGCTCCACAATCTGAGGTTAAATGTTCTTTCCTTGTAACATTTGCTAGCTGAGTGCTGAAGCTAAAGCGACAGGTATTCTCTAGTGAGGGGCTTATATCTACCATCGTTCCCATATGACACGAATGCAGCATTAAACTGTCAACCTGGGGGCTTTTTGCACACCTGTACTACAAGATATCAGCGGTAGGCAAAATCCAATTTCATTAGAATCATTGTGCTCATGTGACCGCACAGCGAGATAGGTGAAAATATTACCCATGACAAGACCAGCTCTTGCGTGAGAGAAAGAGGGGATGTGCCGGCCTTTCTTGTACACCTCGGGGTCAACGTGTCAAACTGGTGAACGCATCACACCTGTTTTTTAGCCTTTGCAGCCGCTCTAGAATTTCCTGGAAAAGAAGAAAAAAGCATGTATAGCTATTGTATTTACTGAATTTAAATTTGCTTTGCACTCCAATTCTCAGTGTCTAAACCCGAGGCCGACTTTGCCTCTGGCGTGCCTGTCTGGGGTTGCCTTGATCAGCATCTAGTTATGAAGAAAGTCACTCATCTCCCAATCAGAACTGCAGCTGTTTCAGAACAGTGACTGCTCTATACGCGAAGATGCGACTTTCCTCCCCCACTAATTGTTGCTATAAAGCACACTTCTGTCAAATACCCTCATTACTCCATTACTGTGTATACGTACGTACTGATCCAAGTGGGTATCTCTGTCTGAGGAAGCGGTCCGTGGCTCCGCAGCAGATGGAAGCTGTCATCACTCTTTTTCTCTCTGTCACTTCCTCCATCTCATCCCTTCTCATTCACACTCCATATCCCACACTCGCTGTTTCTGCATGCCGTCTTCCTCCCTTTCCCGTTTGTGTGCGCACTCGCACGTGCCTTTGCCTTTGTTACTTCATGCGAGCAGCATATGTGCAGTAAAGTGTTAACGGGCTTATTTTGCCTCCGAGATAAGAGTCACAGGTTGTCATATATAAGGCTGCGGGTGGCTTGGGCTCACATGGACCTAAACGCAGCATACTAAACATCTGTTGTGTAAGCCATTAACACCCCGCCAAGAGAGTGCGAATTAAAAGGAAGAGGGATTTGGGTATTGCTGTGTGTCTGCTAAGCTGGACTGAGTCACTCTGAACAGCAGTTGTGGGTACAGTTAAGTGTGCAAGGGTGAAATTGATGCTGCAGAAGTTTAAAGCTGTGGTGTTGCTGGGGGTACACGCAGAGAACATACAGTCTCTCCCTGAGGAAGAGGCCATTTATGTCTCTTGTGTCTTCTCTCTCCTGTGCACCCCCCCATACCTTTCTGCGGGTATTTCCGACTCATGTCTCTGATCTGTTACTGGCCTCAGCAACCTGGTGGTGAGTATTTGTTGTTTGTTGCTTCTCAGTGCTCTTCTTTGCGCTCTTCACTCTTCCCTCACCCCAACCGGTTGAGGCAGATGGCCGCCCTCCCCGAGTCTGATTCTGCCTGAGGTTTCTTCCTGTTAAAAGGGAGTTGTTGTTTTTTTTACTCCCTACTGCTGCCAAGTCCTTGCTCAAAGGGAATTGTTTGGTTTCTCTCTATAATATTGTGAAGGCTTGTCCTTACTGTGCAAAGCGCCTTGAGACGACTTGAGCCAGATCTGTTGTGATTTGGTGCTATACAAATAAAACTGAATTGAACTGCCCAAGGCTTTAATCTAAAGTGAAATCTTAAGAGGTTTATACAAACGGCCACAAGCACAGATGTTTAAGAGAATACGAAAAGAGCTTGTAAGCACACAGATGGATTTGGTTTTCCAGTGAACGATAATAATTATGTACAGTTTATTTATAATGTATTAGTTAACTCGCTCTGTCTTTAATAGAAGTTTCCTGTGACTGGAAGCAGAAGCGGAAAGCGCACAGAGGCTCACGAAGTGAAGTAGACCTATTGTGCTGTCTCCGTATTTTTATTCTTGGACTCCACTGGAATAATTTTACATGACTCATAGTTCAAACTAATCCTCATTTATCTTACGCCGGGTGCTCAGTTAATACCCCGTCTGAAACAAGTGTCTCAATTTAAAGCTACAGTCTCTGTAGGCTTTCTTCTGATTGGTTGCCCCTCACTTGTTTTTTCACAAACTGAATCTGGTGCTGCAGGGGACGGCGTCCTCTACTTTCCAAACTGTAAACTTACTAAAAGAAAAAAACAAATCCAAGTATGAAGCAGAGCTCACAAACATCAGTTTACAAAGATTAAAGCAAGACAACCGTCTTCGGTAAACGTTACACTTATTTCACTTATTTCACTTATTTCTCACAATGAGCTTTTCAAAAATGAGTTGTATGAAACTGTGTCTGTATACAGGATTTAAATATACTATTAAAGGATGCACATGCAGGGAAATGTGATGAAACTCCTTCTGCTATGAGGAAACATGAAATAGTGAGTAAAATGCTATTCGGCTCTGGCTAAAAGACTCTGTTCCACAAGTTAGTCAAATTAAAAGCTTAACTATTATGTAAGTGTGCACACTTTTCTTCCTTCCTTAAACAGGGAAATATTCATCATTCAGTCATCATTAGTCATTTTGGTTTGATTATCAGTACAAAGCAAACATTTCAGCGATATGTTAATTACAGCTCGTATCTCTGATGCTCCACCACTGCCCCTTAAATCAGGAAGTCAAATAACTTTAACTCTCCCTCACAAATCGAAACCCCTATCCAGAGTCCCAAAACCTGCTGAGTAATCTGTTTCAGAGCTTGACCACATGGAGCAAATCCCCTCTCATCAGCATGAGTTATTGTGAGTGACTGTCAGCCAGTAAACTTTACTAGTTTTTGTTGCTTACCGTCTTGACTTTTTT